GTTTTGGCCCCACCCCTCAGGCCCCAGGGGGGCAGGGATCATGAAATTCACAATTTTTGTTCCCCTTCACCCATAGATGCTTTGTGCCAATTTTGGTTGAAATTGGTTCAGTGGTTGCAGTGAAGAAACTGAAAATGTCCAAATGTTAACACACGAGGCACGACGCATGACGGACGACGACGGACAAAAACGGATAGCAATAGGTCACCTGAGTTTACTCAAGTGACCTAAAATATTATGGCCACGGATTGTGTATCATTTATTATACATGTACTAAGTAAAAATTACACAATAAATTAAACATTAGGCAATGTATACAATATGATATATTACTTTAAAGATTTTTCACAAAAAAATAAACACAGAAATAACATCTCACTGCATGCCCTGTAAGTCTTGAACACTGAAAATTACAAACCCTTACCTTCCAATCACCCGACTGAACAAGATTTTCTCCTCCCACAAGATCACTACTACCGAGCCGTGAATTCCAATACAGGGAAAAATCTGACACCTTTACCCAGCTGTAAAACAACAAAAATCAAATATCATTATAAGCACTGCGTGCATATGAAATTTTTGAACTTCTGTAGGATTTAAGGATGTACAGGGTACCTGTAAAGTGTGAAACGAAATAGAAACGAAACGAACTGAAACGAAACGAAATCTGCCGAAACGAAACGAAATCTACCGAAATGAAACGGAACCTACCGAAACGAAACGGAATCAACACGAAACGAAACGAAATCAAAACGAAACCTGCCGAAACGAAACAAAACTATCAAAATATTTTTTTTTTTTAAATTAAGGTACATGTATATAATTCTTTATATGTGTAACTGCATGTGGACTTTTTTTTTTGCTTCAAATAAAATTTATATAGTTCAAGCACTTAATATAGAATTTAATTTAATTACCGATTATACATGTTTACCAGCTGCAAATATGCACGAGCGTACTATATGCATGTATAATTAACAAAATATGACGGAACAAGAAAAGCGAGAGCGAGTGGATGACCTATCGCCGAATCGTTCTATGGTTCGAGGGTCCTCAGCTAAATCCGATAATGCGGTTGACATAAACTTGGATCTAGATCCAGATCTTATGCTGGAGGTAGACATTCCCCTCGACAACACTGACAGGACTTACTCCACGCAGAGTTTCAGGACGTCTGCGAGAACTAAGTCGGGACCCAGGAAAGTGATGTCTGCTGGCAATGACAAAAAAAGTCAGTCCGGTAGATCTTCAGTTTATATCAAGACAAGAGCAAGACCCATCAAACCACATGAGGTAATAGACTGTTTTATCTTTGATGTGTTTGTCAGGTCTGGTACAATCACTAGATTTAGCTACGTAGCTTGATATACCTACATAGCTTTATTTACCTACCTGAGGTAGCTTTATTTATCTACCAAATTGTAAAAAAGATGTGCATTGATCATTTTCAACTTTGGAAAACAAATGAAAAAACAAAATGTCTTTCTGCACAATTGCAATCAAAGTTCTGAAAGTTTTGGGGCTATGTATGACAGTTAGAACAGTTACTCCTTGAATGAAATTCAGTTTATATCGGTAATTAAGACAGTATGAAGAGCAAGACCCATCAAACCACACGAGGTAATAGACCGTTTTATCTTTGTAGCCCTTCGTTTTATACTTTTAAATTCTTAGATAGACTTCCACTTTCTGGATGTCGGTCATGGTGCAAGTAACCTGGTACCATTCTGATCTTGAGGAATATGTTGACATTGATCTGCATTAAAACAAAAAGTGCATTTTATTACATCGTACTTCATGTGTGACTTCATTACATAAAATCATATACCGGTATTTTATGCAGACAATTGATCCTCTAACACTACTCTTTATATCTTTTAGCTTTTATTTAATAAAGTCATGTATTTTTCATTTCTTTGGGCCTTCCCCCTAGGGAAAAAACCAGAGGCATACATTGAAATATCAATATTATGTCTAAATTATAACAAAGGGTGAAAAAATTAGCAAAAGTTACTTATTCCTAGTGAATATGCAAGGTGATAGACTGAACATAAATCAATTGATGTATATTTTCTTACAAATGAAAATCATTATATGTATGTACAGATGTATAGCAAAAGCATAAACTGTGCAAAGGATGAATAACATATAAGTGAGTTGTGTATTTTTTATTCAAGGTATCAAATAAAAAGGTCAGCCATGCATTGAAATTAGATGTACGTTTGTAAAACATATGGACAGTTATGATATAATTTATTGTTTATTTGCTTTACAATCCAGATTTGTGTACAAACCACAATTCATAACACTCAAGGTCTAGCCAGGATATTAAAAAAAAGTACTTTGTTTATTTATAAACATTTAAGAAGTAACAAAAAATCCTGTAAGAAAAATATTTACATTTAATTTTTGTGATTATTTTATAGCTTGTTCCTAGCTGGACCTCTCTCCCCGTCTTCTCATAACCTATGTCAGTACATATGTACTTGTAGTGGTATTTTGATGTATCGATCAACACAGACAATCCCACAAAACCAGATGCTTTAGGGGTCAAAAAAAAAAAAAAACTTCAAATAAGCCTCTTTTTGTTTCTATTATCCTGTAACATGAATGCTGTAATGCTCTCTTTTTATTTGAAAAGGTATTTCATGAATTTCAAACAAAAAAATTAATTCATGACAGAATATTAGTTCGTGCACATTACAAAGTAGACTAGTTTCAAACAGTACTGGTAATAAATGAATGTTTCAATCTGGTTACTCAAATATGTGATCACGTTATTAAAAGAATTACAAAACAAAATTTTGCACCTGATTAGCATTAGACATAATCTTAGATTGGAATTAAGAGCATTGCCTTACGATGATTAAATTCAAAAGCATAATTTAAAATTTGAAGTGGAAATTCTTTAATAATTAAAGATTTGCACAGTGAAATGAAAATCAAGCTTCTTGCTTTGGATTGTTTAATTATGACCATGCTAACTCATTACTTACATATTTACAGTAATTATTGCACTTTTCCCTGATAAAAAACATGAATTGCATTTATTAAATATCAATTGCAAGGTAGAAAAATAATAAAATTTATAACATTTACAAAATAGGTATAGATAAAAAAGTTTTGAGTATTGGTAATTATCTTTATCAGTAAGGTTGCATCCCTGATGCCCCATGTTTTTAAAACAGATATATTATGATATTTTACCTGAAGTTTAATTGTCCATTATCCATTGAGTATCTATGTCACTCTGTAAACTATGAATGTTATTTAAAACAGACACTGGATCTGAGTTATAAAAAAGACCGATCTTATACCCACACTAAGAATCACATGGTTTGAAGCACTTCAGATGATCAGATACTCATTGACACTTCTGTAGTGCTTTTGAATGTTATGTTTTTGTATTGTACGCATATGTTTGTAAAATAATTCACAACTGAAAACATGGCACTGCTTGGCACACTATAAAAATGTTTGCAATTTGTGAATTTTATATATCTTAACTATTTTAAAAGCACTCAGACTTTTGAATTTATAAATAATTCATAATACATTTTGTATTCATCTGAAGTTCAGAGCAAGTGCCTGAAAATTTGAAAATCGATTGTGTAGTGATATAGCTGTCATTTCATATATACCTCTCATAAGAAAAGATATGTAAAATCAATTTTTCCATTACTGTACATTTCAATATATTTTTTTCAATATATAAAGTATTTCAACCAATTACCATAGCATGGTGATTTTTTTAATACTATTTAATTGTTTAAATTCTTCTGAAGTTCTAAAGATTTTGAATTTTTTTGTTTTGTTTTGCAGCCTGAGCCATTTTTGAGCATTGATAACCTTTCAGAAGAAAAACTACAGCAACTGATGGCGGGTAAGGTTCTGTAATGGAGTAAAAAGTTTCAGATCTAATTTATCAGTGTCAGTGAACAATTAAACTTTCTAAATGACACATCTTGAAATATTATGTACATGTATATGCATAGCAGAAAGCTAGGAATAAAATGAGTTAAAATAAAATTTGAAATAGATATATGTTTAATTGATGACTAAATGAACAGTAAAATTGTTGTTTTTAGGAAACTTGATTAGATTAAAGTCTAAAAATGTTCTATTTCTTTGCACTGTTGAACTTTCTGATGTTGCTATTTTTGCTCCCGTGGTTGACATGAAATGAGTAATTAAGTTATTGTCCAGGTTAGCAGCTCACATTCTAAAATCAAACTTATTCTTAGATCCACACCCTGTAAATTCTTACAGACAGTGATATGGCACGGATGTAAGAATTAGACTGAGTTGCTCAGACACTTGCTGTTGCTAAGTTAATTACTTGGCGCACATTAGGAAATAAAGTTGCAGTATAAAAGACTGACAAACCTACATTCTGAACTTGGATTAGATCTAAATGGTTTGCATCATTTGTCTTACTGAATTCAGATCTTATGATGTGGATGTGAAGTAATGTTGTAGTTGGGTGATTAACATGTGTACCCTAGACCAATCAATAAAGCATTTATAGATGTATAGACTTTAAATCCTTTTAACGTGCTGGGATCCATATCTCTTTGTCTCTCTGACACCTTTACTGTGAAGTTGTCATCAAGATTCAATAAACAATGCCACTTTAAATTATCCCATTGAACTCTAGATGGGCATTATTCAGGTATTTTTGGCAATCTTTGGTAAGCATTGGTTCTCTGTGATAAATATGGAAGATAGGTCTGTTTTGGAGAGGAGTTTACCCAACCCCTTCGTTTTCCATCGTTGGCACACTACCTTTCCAGTGGTGGCTAGCTCTTGGTATGGCAGAAAGGGACAAAAACTGTCAGGTTAGGCTAATTACCAAAAAATGTCTGTGATCTCTGTTAATGTTACCACATTGCCAAAAAAAGAGTTTCATCCAGGTAAGTATTCATGCAGGTTAATTAATTATTGAATTTGCCTTGTTAAGCATATACAGGTGTAATAAATTCAACTATACTTTTCAAGCCAAATATCTTTATCAGTGTGTAAATGGATTCTCTATATTGATTAATTTGGAGGCTAGGGAACCTGTAAGAAACAAGATGTGTTTGTAAAACACTGATGCCCCCAATGGCAATGTAGCGAAGATTAAACTCTTCTTAAATGCAAATTTAAAATATTGGTACCCAAAGAAGGGTACGTCTTCTCACAAGAAATCAATTGTGAAATATGAAAGCCCTAGCACCACCTGTTCAAAAGTTCATGTGGCCAAGATTAAGTTTTTGAAAGGGAGGTCATATTCCAAGGTCAAAGGGTCAAATTGTTGGTTTCTTAAGAAAGGTTTTGTCAAAAGGATTACATATGTAAAGTATGATAGCCTAGCCCTAACCATTCAAAGTTATGACCAAGGTTAAAGTTTTTTAAAAGGAGGTCAAACTCCAAGGTCAAAGGGTCAGAGTTCTTGGTATCAAATTAAAGGTCTTTTCACAAGGATCGAATATATGAAGTATGGAAGCCCTATCCCTGACCCTTCAAAAGTTATGGACAAGATTTGTTTTTAAATAGTAGGTCAAACTCCAAGGTCAAAGTTCATTGTATCCAATGAAAGGTCTTTTCACAATGATTACATATGTAAAGTATGAAAGCCCTAGTCCTTACCATTCAAAAGTTATGGCCAAGGTTAAAGTTTTTCCATAAGTACGGAAATCATCAAGGTCAAAAGGTCAAAGTTGGTATCCAAGGAAAGGCCTTCTAACAAAGAATACATATGTGAAGTATGAAAGTCCTAGTATCTACCATTCAAAAGTTATGGCCAAATTCAAACGCCAAGGTCAAAAGGTCAAATTTGGTGGTACCCAAAGAAAGGTCTTGTCAAAAGGAATACACATGTGAAATATGAAATTCACAGCTCCACTGAATTAAAAGTTGTGGGCAAGATTAAAGTTTTTGGGGACAAACAGACAGAAAGACAGACAGACAGACATGACAAAAAAACTATATACCCCCAAATCTTTGATTATGGGGGCATAAAAACTGTTATATTGTTGTTATATCTAGCTATAAACGTATTGTGCATTATATTGTATGTTATATGGTTGAAATATCTGGCTGTAAATTACATACAGCAAAACTCGGTTATAACAAAGTCTCTGGGACCTATGATATACCTTCCTTATATCTGTAATTCATCATAACCGTATAAGAAATTCATTAAATTTATATAGCTGGGGATCCAAGATGACTGTCAAAGCATGTAGAGAAATGTATTATTATGATTATGATGAAATGAAAATGGGAGCAATTTAAATGAACTTAATGCAAAATATCATTGTAAAACTAAGATGAAAATGACATATATTTTCAATACCTACCACTGCTCTGGGTTTCAGAACCAAATCTTTGAGTTCAACATTACCTTAAAGAAAAAAATATTTATTTTTTATTAAGCATGCACATTTTCAGCATTTAAATTTCTTTCAAAATATTAAATTTACCAAAATTTATGTTCAGATTTTGAATAAATATATACTACATTTATTCTTTCTTTTCATTACAGCAAAACATTGTTATCATAAAGGGTTATGAGATGGTAATTTATAAATTTAAATATCTCTTCGAGAATCTTGGATCCACCTCAGAGTCTGTACAATCATATACACATAACTTACCCCCTAAGACACTATATTTCAGGTTATCATGATTGATGTTCTCCACAAACTCGCCAATATACTCGTTAATTAAATTAACCAGTCGATCCTTAATCATGGCACTCTGCTAAGATATACAACTGCTCCTGACTGAAACATAAGTTAAAAGCCATGATCATAACATAATTTAGGTACAGTGTACTATGTATGTGAAATAACAACCATTTCTATTTTTGACTTTAACCTTTACACAAAACCTACATATCTGCACATTTCAATTTTCTATGAACTTTACTTTCACTTATGTGTAGGTCAAATTAAATTTTTTTTTATCTAAATTGTTGCCCATGTAAAATTACAATTAGTACGAACAAGTGCCATATGCGACACAGGGGGAAATAGCTATAAGCAATGTAACATAAGAAAGTAAAGATGCTGACAATTGATAAAATCGATCGACTTACAAATGTAACCTATCTTCAACAATATTTACTTTTATCAATTATCTTAATCAGTAAAGAGGATCAATATTAAATGCTAGTAAAATCATTTAAGTTGGAACACTGCCATTTCTCTACAGTAAGAAAATCAACTAACTTTCAATTACCATAGTCAAAATAATCTTTTTTTTAAATGTACACCATCAACTTGAGTCATACCAAAGGGGAAAAATAAATTCTACAAAAACAAAATAATAATAATTAACAGCTGTTATCATTATAAGCCATGAGTTTTAGAAATAGGAAGGACACAAAACCAATGGCTTAGCTTGCAATGAAGAAGTGTTTTGTAATTTCATCAATCTTTATGTCACGTACGTACTAGAAATAATTTGTTAGTTTCTCCTACAGTTCAATTTCAATATGAATTTTTGACAAATGAAGGCTAACCTGACAGTTAAGTCTTTCCTGTACATGTAATGATGTATATACAAAATATGAAGTCCTGACAGTCAAAAAACAACAACTGATAACAGTTCTCTATAATTATAGGGGCTGATGTCATTTCATATCAATTGGATCTTGTGCACTATGAAAACTCTTTAGTACATTAATTATGCAATCAGCAAAGATAATCAAATTTTTTTATCATAATTTGGCAAGTGTACAAATATACCAATGGCAATGGTTATTATTTCTTACTTTCACTTTACACACATCACAGGAAAAATCAATTAGGGTGCAATAATTTCATCGCTTTTACATTATCTATTTACAGAAAAGTATAACATACATTTCTTTTTAGTTGTCATGAATTATAATTTATGCATTCTTGGTGGATCGCCAGCATTTGCAATATTGGCTAGCAACAAACCCCTAAAACGTCGTCTGTTGCAAGAACGACAAATGCAGAAAAAATGTCAGCGATGCATAGAAGCGTGTTCTGCAATAAAATCTGAAAGTACAACAAAAAGAGACCTGTCAGCAAAACACACGTTCTCCTCGTCCAAGGAACAGCTGCAGTCATCTTCAGTTTATATAAAAATCAATGAGAAAATCTGATCGACAGCCGAAGTCAATTTTCAAACAAATCGTACCTGGAATTAGTCGTTCTGTAAAATTGACCCGATATTTGACAAGTCGTACAATATATCAAACTAGATTTTCACTCAAATCATTAGGCCATTAAAAAACAATTCGCAATGAAATTAAGAGTTTGCCGTTTGCGGTCTGCTTCGCTCTCACTTTTTTTTCATGGGTGGATCTGGAAGGGGAGGAAGAGAGGGGCATATTCTACATGTAATTCAGTAATTGAGGATGTCTCACTCCATATCAATAACTTTGCCATTCTTAATTAAGAAAAGGATTTTTTTTTCTTAAGTAAAACTTTGCCGCCCAAGTGTGGCCCCACCCTTACCTGGGGCTATGATTTGCACAAAAATCATTATAAATCTCACTAATCATGGATTGTAGTATTCTTGTAAAGCAGATTTATAAAAAGATTTTTTTTTCATATTTCTATGTAAAATTTCATTGCGCAGCCCCAGCCTATACCCACGGCTGTCATGATCTGAACAATCAACTTCAGGATGCATCCATGTAAATATCACCAATCAAAGCTTTTCTTTTCTTGAGAAGAAGATTTTGTAAAGATTTTTCCTTTATTATAATTCCTATATATGTAAAACTTTGATCGGGCATTGTAGGACCCACCCTACCCTAGGTGGTCATGATTTGAACAAATTTGAATTTATCCTTCCTGAGGATACTTCCAATTGAGTTTCATCTTTCTTGGCCAAGCGGTTCTTGAGAAGCTGATTTTTAAAAGATGCCATCAATGTTTGACTAATTCATAATTATCTCCCCTTGAAAGACAACATGTAACCCTTCATTTGAAGAAACTTGAATCCCCTTCATCCAAGGTTACTTTGTGTCAGTCACATTTGGTTGAAATTGGCCCAGTGGTTCTTGAATAGAAAATGGAAACGTGAAAATTTTACGACGACGACAACAACGACAATTAACGAGGGAAAACGGTCATTTTTATCAGAAAAGTCTACTTGAGCCCCCCCCTTCTCTCTGAAAATATGATCCCGTTAAAAACGATACAGAGTATTACATGTATAATATATCAATGTATTATCTATTAAAAGAAAATTATCTATTATAGGAAAGAGTTGTTGTCTTACACCCTACCATCCACCCAACCCAACCACCACCCTCCATCCCCAACCCCCCACGTACACACCCTCACACACAAACCCTCACTCACAGGAAAAAGACGGGTTTTCGTTTTTAGGATAGTTGCATGTTTCAAAGGTAAGGTTTGTGGTTTTAAAAGGCTACAATCAAATATATACGAGCGTATATGCATGGATATTGAAAAACAAAGGAGTAAATAAAAGAGTTTTATTTCAAACTCTGAAGGACCTTGACCTTAATTTCAAGGTCAAAAGTTAACTCTTGGAAGGGTCAAAGATCATTTACGCAAGGTCAACTGCAAAAATATCTTAATTTTTTCATAGGCTATAGAACTTTTCGATAAAATATCTTGAAACTCAAAAACATAAGGCGGCTCAAAGCAATAATAATCTCAAACATGCTGAACAATTTCATTTTTTCCACAGAAAGGTCGAAAGACCTAATTATCACATTCGTGGCTGTACAAATTTAAAATCTGTAATTGAAATATGAATTCGATGAAAACAGAATTTAAATTTAGAATTTATTTAATATGTGCACCATCATTCACATTATAACAAACTCCTGCTGTATTGTGTATAATATATTCAGTAGTTGTGCGCAGATACTCGGATTAACAAGTTCATGTCCTACATTAAACCTAGACTTCCATATCTTAAAATGTCAGTAACCTCCGGTATTTCTTCCCGTTTAAATTCCCTTCTCGAATAACATGTTAAAGTACAAAACGGAATAAATATGTATGTTCAGTAGTCAGTACCTACAGTTGTAGATGGATGACCTGGGTAACTTTATTATAGTACAAGGAAGCTTTAAGAGGAATGAAGGGGGTGATATAGCGGCAGATGTATTATAATAACATGTTACTATCTTAAAGTAAACGGGAAAAAAATATGTACGAGCAGTGCCTGGGTAAATGACCTTCTGGGTAATGTTAATAGCATAAACGGTAGAACATGTAGGGGAATGAATGAGAGTGGTGCGCGATGATAAAGGGGAATTAAAACAAGATCGACTTCCTTAAATTGATCTACGTAATATGTATACTTAGTACATGTATGAATGACTTATAGGAGTCCGCGTTTATATATGGCGATGTGGTGATATTCTGAGATCGTGATTTGTTTACAATTTTAAATCTTTGAAAATCCCGACGTGGGGGGTGGGGGGGGCACCCCCACACCCTAGATCCGCGCATGCTACAAAATAAAAATATTTATTAACTCTAACCATTTAAATGTTTTTGCAATATTAAGGACCCTCTCTACACTGCACCCTAATTTCAGGGTACTTGCGTGTAGTTAGACTGACCCACCATTTGACATAAAAAAGAATAAATTGTAATCCGCATTGTATGACAAAATTTTAAATAAATCCATCTATTCTAAACATTATGTTAGACCAAGATAAAGTAATTGAAAACTTTATTTGCATATATTTTCTCCATTTGAATAATCAAAAGAAATTTTTCTTTGTCATTACTTCACTGTCTTCAAAAATTTTTCCTGGTTAAAGAGGGCACGCTCCCTATATTAGAAATGGATTAGTTTATTTCAAAATAGCCTCAATTACACTATATAATTTTCTCTCAGTCCAAAAAACATTTTTCGTCAGTGTATAGAGGGTTCTTAAACTGCATGTATCCATTTCCAATTTCATGAAAGACAAAAATCATGCAGATTATACTTAAAATATGCATTCATGAAGAAAGTAAGCTAAAAAATTATATTGATTGATATATTACCTTACTTAACTAATTGAAGTAATTCCTTCTACCTAATCAAAACAAACTAAGATGTCCTGCAATGAACGTGCCATGATACCCGTAATATTTTAGAAGAGATGACTGCAATATACGACATACATCAAATGTAGCTTCTTCATCCAACACACTACACAGGAAAATATATTATGTCAGTACCGCAAACTGGTAAACTTCATGGGCTGTGTGCATTTGAATAAGCTTATTCATTCTCATTTTCATGAAAACATGTGATCCTACACACTATTTCCTTCAGGTTTTAATCGATGGCTCACAACTCACGTGAAATCCTTTGAACAAAAAATAGTAAAGCTCTTCAATCTAAGTGGTATTACATCCTTCATGTCCTTTGATCCGCTCCAGTAGATCGCTACTTTTGCGTAGTATTCTATTGGAGCGGATCAAAGGATTAAATTTATTATAATTTCCTGCTAACATAATGAAGGTAAAGTACATATACACTGAATACATAATTTTGCAGGCTTAAGATAAGATAAGATAAGATAATTTTATTTCCAATTTTGGGCCCAGAAGGCATAAAGGTTTCTTACAATGACAAGATAGAAAGTTCTAAAAGAAAGGTTATAGTAAACATATACAAACATAAACACACATACACACACATGTATATATCTGATATAATATTACAAGTAACTGGACATGTAGATGCAGCAGTTGGGGTTATCAAATTGTAAATTAACATGCAATCAAAATCAATATTATCAATATACATATATACCAGTTTACAAATAAATATGTGTCTATAACATTATTTATGAAAACTCATGGCATTATGCCTTATTTTGAAGGCTTTGACAAGATATTCACTTAGCTTTGTTATAATTAGATTATCTTCGTTAGACATTAACCAGAGAAATTTGTCTCCTTTTGATAATAATATGAAATTTTTGTTTAGTGATGAGATATCACGAAAAAATTTATCTCTCTCCTCAGTATATAATGGGCATTCAGTAAGAAAATGATATTAATCTTCTATATTGTTTTGGTTACACATTAAACATATTCTTTTGTTTCTATCTAAGGGGATTCTTTGACCAGCATTATCTTTTACAGATTCATATCTGCCTTTTTCAATTCTTAGGTCATGAGCACTTATTCTAAATCTGCAAATGGATTTTCTTATTTCATGAGATTTAATGTACATATATTTTTCCATTATAAAATTTTCTTTAAACATAAAATAAGTAGTAAGTTTTCCAGATTTCAGTCCCTCTTCACGTTTCATTTTCCAGTATTGTAGGAAGTGTTTTTTCAAATGTTTCTTAACTTGTTTTTTTTAAAATGTGTTTTTGTATGTTTTACATTCTGGTAATGAGAGATTAATTTTCTTACTATAATAAATTACATTTTTGTACCAGCAGTTAATATTGCCTTGACTAAGGTTAATATTTTCTGTATATGCTTTATGTAATAGGGAAGATTCTGGACTTGATTGCAACCTATGCCAGTATAATAAGATGTTTTGAATAATTGAAAAATACATAGGGTATCTTCCCAGTTCAGTAATTATTGCAATATTAGTACTTTTCTTCCCAGCTTCCAATAGATATTTACAAAATTTGATATTTAAGCTTTCTGCCTCCCACTCTTTAATTGATTGATTGTATATTGTTTAACGTCCCTCTTGAGAATTTTTCACTCATATGGAGACGTCACCGATGCCGGTGAAGGGCTTTAAATTTAGACCTATACTCGGCACTCAGGGCCATTGAGCAGTGAGGGTTCTTTATCGTGCCAACGCCTACCGTGACACGGGACCTACGTTTTTAAGGTCATATCCGAAAGACCCGTGACTTTCACTTCTAGTGCCGAGCGCTTGGCGAAGGAACAGTCACTACCTTTGTTTACGTCTTAGGTATGACGCGGCGCCGCGATCGAGAATCGAACCCGGGCCTCCCGATCACGAAGCGAACGCTCTACCACTAGGCTACCGTGACCGGTTCCCACTCTTTAAAAATATCGTATAAATGTTTGTTTTTATCTTGTATGCGTGCTGTAAGGGTTCCCCAAATTTCACAGCCATATAATGCAACAGGCTTTATCATGTGATCAAAAAGATGTAGGAGTGTTTTGATGGGAGGATGAACAGCTTTTAGGTCTTTGTATAATTTG